GTATTTTCCAAGTTGTAATTGATTTTGAAATCATGAATTTAATTTTTTTTTTTTGTAACAAATCTAGCAAAAGGAGATGCATGTATATTACCAATAATTGCTCATTAAATGATTTTATATAGTGGAATACAGTCAACTCGATTGGTATAAGTAGGCCTGTCAATGGATTTGAATCCAAATTTATTTTACTGGATCGAATTTATATATTCATATTCATATCCCATTTAAGATATTTAAACAAATTCATATTTAACGGTGGCTTACCCACTGCCTGAAGTTGATGCACTTACACAAATGTACTTACTGAATTAATTGCCACAATCTCATGTCAATAAGAAAATAATTTGTTAATACAAGTCAAAGAAAATTTGGCACAAATGTCCTTACTGAATTGATTGCCACAATCTCATATCGTAAATAAGAAAACAATCTGCTATGACAAGTCGAAGAAAATATGACACAAATGTACTTACTGAATGGATTGGCACAATCTCATGTCAATAAAAAAACAATCCCCTAAGACAAGTAGAAAAAAATGTGATACAAATGTACTTACTGAATTGATTGCCACAATCTCATGTTGTCAATAAGAAAACAATGTACTAAGATTATCCAATGTATATGCATTACTATTGTAAGTCATTATGAATCAACAGTATAAAAATCAAATGCATAGATGTTAATTACCAACTTTAATTAATTCTTTTGACTGAAAAAAAATAAGATGATATATTTATATTTATTTACATTGAGGCTAATTGTAAAAAAATAGAGATAACTGTGTATCAATTGCAAACAATTTTACATTCAAGTTATGATTACAAACCCCAAAAAGTGTAAATAGACAAATTTATTATCTTTAGTTCATTTCTAACTCATACCAAAGGACACACATCTACTAATTGTCTCCTACTTAGAGTCTCAGACTCCTAAATCAATACAATTCATTTCATCAATCTATGTTCAAGCCTGCAGATTCATGTGCTTAGCTTTGTACTCGCTCCATAGTTGATCAACTGGCTTATTCAATAGCTCAATAAAGTATTGATCACTGTAAGCAGTTCTCATCTTTTTGTTCAATGCGGCCACAAACCCTGGTCTAAGACCATCACAATATTCCAAAAACCGTGCCGTAAAATCATACCCTTGATCCCATCTGTCACCCTGCCCCGGTTTTGCGAAGGCCGGGGGATAATCGTTGGACTTCAAGATCATATAATCAGCAATCCCTTCGACCAGCCCGACTGGAGCGTGGCCCTCTCCATTCCACTGAAACACATGGGTCATTTCATGATGAAGCAAAGAAGTGAATTCCCATTTCACATTACCTTGGTAGCCTTGCAAGTACACAGAACTGACATTAATGTTTTCGCCGTAAGTGATTGCTTCGGCCCCCTTGTACTCTTCAATGAACACTTTGACAACTTCCACGTTCTTTCTATCTTCCAAAGTGTTTTCTTGCAAGATGTTCCATATGAAATTGTTGATGGTTCTCATTATGTTCTTAGTGTAGTCAATCCCAATCTCCCTCGAGAAGCGAACACCGCCTGGGGTTGATGGTGCATTATTGATGACCTCATATTGGACACCATTGATTCCCTGAAGAGCTACTAGGGCTAGGAGGCAAGACAAGAAGAGATATAGGTGTGCCATGACTCTGTTCATACGCACTTTGCTCAAAAGATGGCTTATAGGACCATCAACAATTTCATAGATGGTTTAGAGTATTTATCTCCGTTTTTTCCGTGTTTTACATGAGCTGCGATTACAAGCCTCTAAATCAGTTGGTGATTTTCAGGAGAGGGAGCTCAATCGGAAATTTAATTTATGGCCTAAGGTTTTGGAGGAGAAATCGGATATACAGATGGGAACTACCATCTAATGACTGGATTAAACTTAACGTTGATGGAGCGAGTAAGGGGAATCCAGGTTTTTCTAGAGGAGGATCGGTGCTCAGCAATTCGAATGGTCAAATTATATTGGCCATTCAAACAAATGAGGGAGAAATTTTCTACTACCTATATTCGGCTATGGCACCTTTTAGGAGGCGTGTGGATTTCACCTATATCCGGTTTCTTTGGAGGGAACAAAAATCCTTATTCAGTGCACTTTTTAAGGAAAATATTGTATTCACGGTCACATGTTAAAACTTAATCATAATCAGTCAATTCGATTGGTGCAAATAGGCTTGTCAATGGACTGGATTTCAGTCCGAATCCAATTTGAATCTAAATCTAATCAGATATGAATATGGATATATATAAATCTGATCCAATGAATGAGAGAGGAAGAGAAGGGGGAGGGGGGCAACAGCCTACCCACTACCTGAAGTTGATGCACTTACACAAATGTACTTACTGAATTGATTGCTACATTCTCATGTCTATAAGAAAAAAATCTACCAAGACAAGCAGAAGAAAATGTGACACAAGTACTTACCGAATTGATTACTGCAATCTCATGCAAATAAAAAAAAAAAAAATCTGCTAAGACAAGCCTAAGAAAATGTGACACAAATATACTTAATGAATTGATTACACATAATCTCATGACACAAATGTACTTACTAAATTGATTGCCACAATCTCATGTTAATAAGAAAACAATCTGCTAAGCCAAGCAGAAAAAAATGTGACAAAAATGTATTTACTGAATTGATTGTTATAATCTCATTTCGTCAATAAGAAAACAATATGCTAAGATTATCCAATGTATAAGCATTACTATTGTAAGTCATTATGAATCAACAGTATAAAAATCAAATGCATAGAATGGCCTGGTATGTTGCTTAATGGATGCTTTTAGAATAGGAATTCTTGCAAACAAGGACCATGTGGGCAAGGTTTAGTAACTCCAATTAATTATGCAATCAAAGTTTCCTTGACATATTTGGTAATTGAATTGAGAGGCAGGAATTAAAGAAAAGTGACATAATGGCCACATTAAACTATGTTTGAGAAATATATGTGCATATTTAAATCTATATTTTCTACATACTATACTCCTCCCTTTCCCCCATCAAGTGATAATTTTTTTAATTTTAAATAATAATGTATTGATCTTGTCAAATTAAATTATTTCATGTGACTTATGTAGCTACTCTCATAAAATTACTTTAAACGAATTTTTTATCCTCCTTAATTTAACACAATAATCAATAATTTTTTTAAAAATATGAAGAACAACTTCAAAGGAAGTTGTCATTTTGGGATCAAATCACTCATTTGCAACCTTAAATAGTGTTTTGACATTTTTGAAGTATAAATTTGTTCCAATAACAGGTGCCAAAATGGGATGTCATTTTAATTAATATAATAAAGTAGAACGAAGTTTAAATCTCAAAGACAAAGAGATGTTCAGATCGTTTTGAGATAAAACATAAACACTTCCAACGGATAATGTAATCTCAACATAAAAGATGGTTCAAATCATCTCAAAAATTAGCATAAGAAAACAATATGCTAAGATTATCCAATGTATGTGCATTACTATTGTAAGCCATTATGAATCAACAGTATAAAAATCAAATGCATAGAACGGCCTTGTATGTTGCTTAATGGATGCTTTTAGAATAGGAATTCTTGTAAACAAGGACCATGTGGGCAACGTGTAGTAACTAGGGGTGTCAAATATGTCGGGTTAAATAGTTACGTGTCGGGTTAAACGGATGACGGGTGAAAAATATATAAACCCGTACACGACACGTTTAATAAACAGATAAAAAATCTCCACACGAACACGACTCATTTAATAAACGGGTAACACGAAACGACTCGTTTAACCCATTTAATTTAAAAAAAATTATATTAACAAATTTTAATACTCCATTTTTTTTTATTGTCAATTGCACTTACTTCAAAAAAGAAGATTTTTTAGTCAAATTTTATAAAAATAAGACTTGAAGGCTTAAAAAAAAAAGTAAGAGGTCATTACTTTTTATAACTAACTCAACCCTCCCTATCTCCCCTTATTTTTCAATATGTGACAAATAAGACTTAAAGACTTAAAAAAAAGTAAGAGACTATTGTTTTTTATAGGCAACTCAACCCTCCTCATCTCCTCTCAATTTCCAATGTGGGACAAATAAGAATTAAAGACTTAAAAAAAAAAAAGTAAGAGGTCATTACTTTTTAGGCAACTCAACCCTCCCCATCTCCTCTCAATTTTTAATGTGGGACAAATAAGACTTGAAAACTTAAAAAATAAAATAAAATTAAAAGGTCATTGTTTTTTATAAACAACTCAACCCTACCCATCTCCCCTCATTTTTCAATGTGAGACAAATAAAACTCGCCTTTGTCTTTGAAGTGTTCATCTTTTTTTCTTTTTTGTCTTTGAACTACTACTTTACTTCTTTTTTCTTATTGATTTCTTTACTTCTTTTTTCTTACTAATTTTTTAAATAATTATTAATTTATTATTATATTAATTTTATTTAAACGGATAAACTTATGATAAACGATTTGACAGGTCTCACCCAAACACGACCCGTTTATTAAACATGTTTGGCGTGTCAACCCGTTTATCACCCAAACCCGTTAAGATCTCACTCAAACTCGTTTAATTCGTATCGATTTGTGTTGGTTAATCATGTCGTGTCAAATTTTGACAACCCTAGTAATAACTCCAATTAATTATGCAATCAAAGTTTCCTTGACATATTTGGTAATTGAATTGAGAGGCAGGAATTAAAAAAAAGTGACATAATGGCCACATTAAACTATGTTTGAGAATATCTTTATGTTTAACCAACTTTCACACTGTGTATCAAGCGATTTCTGAGCGAAGACTACTACAATAACAAAACCAGCGGACCACCACCAGCCACCCTTCCACCACCAGATCCCACCATCACTCAGCCATCCATCCACCACCAGATCCCGCCATCACCCAGCCACCACCAAATCAAGCAAATCCCACCACCACCCAACCACCCTACACCAATCCAAGCAAATCCCACCTCCACCCAACCACCCATCACCAGTCCAAGCCAAACCCACCACCACCAGCCTCCCATCTTCCACTACTAGCAGACATGGCCATCCCCTGCTCCTCTTCTTCCCCTTCGATCCCCTCCTTCCACCTTCCTTCTTTCTCTTCTCGTTGATCTCCAGCCTTATCTCCTATCATGGGTCCTTGCCCCATCATTAATGTTCCAGACATTAATGGAGGCGAGAAAAATTCCTTACCTCCTGCTCTCACTGATACTTCAAAATCTACCCCCATTAACCCCTCCCCTGCCATTAATAGCATTGAATCAAGCATTCACTGTCCAGGATCAGACTGCACTTTGCTGATTGGCCCTATTTTTGGCCCCAAACTGACCTCCTCTAGTTCAGCCCCCTCTAGTTCTGGTGCCAAATTTATGGCTTCTGACCCTGTGGTGGTGAATGCCCCCACCCCTTCTTTGTGTAATATGCTAGGTACTAACCAGCAAGTGAAAGGAGTTCCCAAAACTCCATGGAACCAAGTTTTGAAATTTAGAAGAGCGGCAAACACCCAAAATCCCAACTCATACTCCATCCCTCCTCAGGAGCAGATGAAACTGAAATTCTACCAATCGAATAGACTCAACAATAAAGTTAGTGTTTTTCCTCCTCCTGAATGGCGAACAAAGGATGTGCTAAATGTAGTAATTGTCTGGTAGGATATTTCATTGAAAAGACACTGTCCTTTTCTTCTATGAAATTCATTGCCCATAAAGTGTGGAATTGCATGGGTTTGTTGGAGGTTCTTGCTAATGACCATGGCTTCTTCTTCTTTAAGTTTGAAAGTGAAGTTGCAAGATCTAAGGTTTTTGAATCAGGCCCCTGGTTATTTCAGGGGAGGCCTTTGATTCTAAAAAAGTGGCAGGCTGATGTTGTTATTTCAAAAGAAGACCACTCCTCCATCCCACTTTAGATTAAGCTCTATAACATTCCTCCCCAATTTTGGACGGAAGAGGGTTTGAGCTACATGGCTAGTGCAGTTGGTAGACCCCTCTATGCTGATTCGCTAACCTCTAGTAAGAAAATAATCAATTTTACACGCATTTGTATTGAAGTTAGTGCAAAGGATGAGCTGATTGATTCTTTCGACCTTCAGCTAGGGGTTGAAGATGTTCAACACACAATGAGTATTGGAGTAGAATATCAATGGAAGCCAAGGGCTTGCCATCACTGCCAAATATTTGGTCACTCTGCCTCCCAAATGTCCTTCTTCTGCAACTCAGGACATTCTTCCTTCTGCTGCTAATCTAGCTGAATCATTTTCTGAGAACCCTCTAGAACCTATTCCAACAATGGTTGATAAAGGAAAAGCTATTATGTTTAATCCTCACTCTCAAACCCATATGGGAAGTGAAGTCAATGGCACCCGTGGTCTTCATCATGCAGATCTACAGAATGATTCTCAGGTAAAAGTTGTCTCCCCTCTTTTTCAATCCCTCCATTCTGAATTACTCGTTGGTCCTACTAGCAATAATAGATTCAACTATCTTATTGAGGAGGGTGACAATCTGATTGTGGATATTAGCCCAAAGCCTTCCTTGCTCCCTCAACCTAATGCTCCTAAAGTTGCCCCGCGTCTTGAGATCCCTGTGAGTTCTCCGCCTGTTTTGTCTAATAGCAATGCATCTCAAAAAAAGAAGAGAAAATTCCATGGCAATGGGGGGAGTAGAAAGGCTGAGTGCCTTAGGCTCAGCAAAGCTTTTCTTTCTTGATGATTGCTATCTTCTGCTAGAATATTAGAGGACTAAATGACTCCTCTAAGCAAGAAGAAATAAAAAAGTTTGTTAAGGGCCAGCGACTTGACCTAATGAGCATTATTGAAACCAAGGTAAGATTGGTGAACAAGAACATAATTATAGAGAATTTGTTCAAGAATTGGAATACTCTTGATAATTACTTGAGTCACCCCTATGGGAGAATTTGGATTGCCTGGAATCCTGAATCCCTTCTTGTTAGAAGGTTGTTCAAATCTGACCAAGCTGTTCATTGTCATGTTCAACAGCTGGGTAGTCAGCTCAACTTCTATTTATCTTTTGTGTATGCTCAGAATGAAGGGATTGAAAGAAGAAGGCTTCGGCATGATCTTACTATGCAGGCTAGTCTTCATTTAAATGACCCCTGGATCATCATGGGCGACTTCAATGTCATTAGAAATCCTAAAAAATCGTGTGGATGCACTGGTCACTGGACACAAGATATGGTGGAGTTTGAGGATTGCATTCAGAGTTCTGAGCTTGATGACCTCAGGTTTTCTGGCATCTTTCATTCATGGAGCAATAATAGGCATGGCTCTGGTTGCATCTCAAGGAAACTTGATAGAGCTCTTGTCAATGAGAGATGGATTTCTTCTTTCCACCAATCTGAAGCTAAATTCTTGTCTTCAGGTATCTCTAATCACTCTCCTATTATTGTAAGATTTGGTGACTCTATGAGTGACAGGAATGCCCCTTTCAAATTTTTCAATCACCTGGCTGACAGAACTGATTTTTTAGACCTTGTGGCTGCTTCTTGGTGTGAACTTATCCAAGGCTCTCATCAGTTTAAAGTCTATAAGAAGCTTAAACTCCTCAAAAGTATCTTCAAATCTATTTGTAGAGAAAAAGGGTCAATCTCTGATTTGGTCGTTAAGACCAAGCTTGACCTTGATGACTGCCTGAGAAGCATTGATACCAACCTTAATGACCACTCTAAGTGGGAGGAGAGAAAGATTCTTTTAGTTGAATACTTGTTGCTTCTAAGGCTGAGGTATAAGCAAAAATCTAGGATTCTTTGGCTCAAAGAGGGTGACCAAAACACAAGATTCTTCTTTATATCCATGATCAATAGGAGAAATAGGAAGAAAATTATTTCTATTAGGAATGATAATGGGCTTATCATTGAAGGGAACCAGGACGTTAAGAGAGTTGCCATTAATCATTTCAAGAACCTCTTTTCACACTCCTGCATTCTGGTCTCCACTGTGGGTAGGAGATCTATGCTGGAGTCTATTGTCCACAACGAAGTGACTAAAGCACAGGCCTCTAGTATGTCTGTGATGTTTACTGATGAGGAAATCAAGTCAGTTTTTTTCTCTGTAAATAATTTTAAATCCCCTGGACCTGATGGGTATAATGCCTATTTTTTCAAGAAAGTTTGGCCTATTATAGGGAATGATGTCATCAAGGCTATTAAGGAATTCTTTGCAATTGGTAAACTTCTTAAGGAAATGAATGCAATCATCATTGCTTTAGCCCCCAAGTGCCCCAATCCTTCTTCTATGAATGAGTTTAGACCTATTGCCTGTTGTAATACTATTTATAAAGCTATCTCAAAACTGTTGGCTTCGAGAATTAAAAATGTCCTCCCTAACCTTATCAATCAGTCCCAATCTGCCTTCATCCCTTGTAGACGGATTGGTAATAACATCCTCCAGGCCCAAGAGCTTTTGAGGAATTACCACAGAAACAAGGGATCTCCTAGATGTGCTATTAAAGTTGGCTTAAAGAAGGCTTTTGATTTTGTCAATTGGAGTTTTTTGATGGATTCTTTAGAAGCTTTAAATTTCCCTCCTATTATGAGGACTTGGATATGGCAATGCATCTCTTCCCCTAGCTCTTCCATCAATATTAATGGTGATTTGGCAGGTTTTTTTTGCAGCTCTAAAGGTTTGAGACAGGGTGATTGTAACACCCCGCATTTTCTTTTATATATGTATATAGATATATAGTAAATAATTGTTGTAAAAATGGGGATATGTGTAGTGATGTGTGTTTGAATTTGGTAGAATGAAAAAGGGATGAACAGTGCACTGGCTGTAACATCAAGCTCGATTTCGACCTTGATGCAGTCCATATCTCTCAAAACTTAAAACATGAAATTTGTAGATCTCTCTCTTAGGATTCCATATCACCTTGAATCATCTCAATCGAAACTAGGAGGAAGGAGTTATGTCCATATTACGAAGTAGTGTCTACACTGTCCAAAAATCTGTCCGGCAGACTACCTTTCGCTAATTTCATCATAACTCTTTATTGGAAAGTCCGAATTGTGCACCGTTATTTTTGTTATAACCCTAACTCGTATATCTTTCCAACCATATAGGTTACACCTCCTAGAAATACTTGAGTCAAATCAGTTTATTCTATGAAGTTGACCAAAAATCTGCACTATGGTGCTCCTTGGATAGTAAAGGGTTGTGCTTTCTTATTAGACCTTAAAGGTGTAAAACCCCATATGTTTACATTAATATATTAATGTACTTGTTTAGTGATTCTTCTATATGTAATGACTTAAGAATAAATCATATATATATATTAAAATCGTAAGGATATCACCTATAGTAGTTCGAAGGAATAAAATAGAAATTTTAATGTTTCAAGTGTGAATTTATTTTAGTTTTGAAATAAATCATAAAAAGCAATGTTTTTAGGTTAAAATAACATTAAAAATGAATCCGGAACGTCGAAAAACCTTAGGGTAGTCGTATGGATCAAATTGGAGATTTTTAGTGGCAAAACTGTAATTTTGGAAAAAAAACTCAAAATTCAGCCTATGAACAGTGATGTCGCGGACTGCTGTGTTTAAAACACAGAAACCAGCCCATTTCCTTCCATTTTTTCTCACATCTCTCACCCCCAAACCCCTTAGCACCCTTGGGGAAGATAGAGGAAAGGAGGAAAGGGAGAAAGGAGGTCATTAGAGCTTGGGTTTGTGGTTTGAAACTTTGATTCAAGGTAGGGGTTTTTCTTCCATGCTTGTCCATTGAGGCTAAGGCTAATATATATATATGTTTTGACTCATACTTGTATGTATTTGCTAGGAATTCCTTGTTTCTTGGTTTTCTTGCAATTATGGCATGTCTTAAACAAAGTTAGGATTGATTACCCATGAAACTTCTTTTATAGCTTTAAAACCCTAGTTTTTGGGGAAATATGGAATTCTCTTTCTACATTTGCTCAAGCTTGGTTTTGAGAACTTTAGTGCTTTGTGTGAGTAATGAAAATGATGTGGTGGTGATCTCTTGTATTTTCCTAATTGTTTATTGAAATTGCCTCATAATGGATTTGTGGATCTTTGGAAATTTGCTTGTAAATTGGAGATTTATGGAATCCTTGGTTATGTGTGATGATTGTTGGGATGATGTGATCTTGTATGGTTGTTGGAATGAACATGGATGAGAGGTTCCTTGTAAGGATGCTCATTCCATTTCAAGAGGTTCCTTGTAAGGATGCTTGAGAAACCAAATCTTGAGGGTGAGAGGTTCCTTGTAAGGATGCTCACACCAAAAGAGGACAGTATGTGATTTTCTCAAGAGGTTCCTTGTAAGGATGCTTGAGAAACCAAATCTTGAGGGTGAGAGGTTCCTTGTAAGGATGCTCCCATTAGAGAGGACAATATGATATCATGTGTGGGAAATGATTTATATTTTGGTAATGGATGTTTATTAGCACTTAGTTGAAATTGCTCCTTTCTATTACTATTGTTACTTAAACTTGAGATTCATGCCAAAGGAAATATAATAATCGATGGTGGAATAAGCGTTCCTTTTTGTATTATGGTGTTACTATTGCATTTCCCACAAGAGCTTGTGGAGGTATGAGACTCTACAAGAACTTGTTGGAAATGGTTATGGTTGCTCATTGTGACTTGGGTTTACTGTTCATTTAAATTATTGCGAATGTTTAAACTTGAGATCTGTTTCAAATGTCACGGTTTTACTTCAAATGTTATATGATATTTTGGAAAATAAGACCGAACTGTTTTACTTGTTTTCTAAACCTTGTATGAGTATGGAAGGAATGTTGCTACAGAGCTTAGTGCTCATCCCCTACAAATAATATCTTTTCAGATTTCGTCTATGAGGAGGGGTTACAAGTAGATGAACCAGTGCATGGGGAAGCTCCCCTAGAGGGGAACGGGGGTCCTGAACTGGATGTCTAGAGTTATATTTCTTTTGTACTAGACTAGAGAGTTTATTTTGAAATCATGTAAAGTCTAGTATTTTGTTATTTCACTGCAAGTGTAATTTAATTCTTTTGGGAATATATTTGTCATACTTGGCCTATTCTTTTGGGATGGCATTGTGGATATGGCATATGATGAATGAAAGTTTATTTTATGATGGATAAATAGACCCGGTGTGGTCAATAGTTATGCATATGTGGACCCGGTGTGGTCAATTGTAATATAATTGTACAGGTTGTGTTTTGGGTAAAGCTCCCCGTACAAAGGAGACTCTGCCCAAATTTTGTTAAAATATGAATGGTTGATGAATGAACTTTCGTCGTGATGAATTTACGTAATGCTCTCATGGGGTGAATGGTTTTTAGAATGTAATGTCACCCAAGGGGGTTTTTGGGGCATTACAGTGATGCTATCTCTCCTTATTTATTTGTGCTTGCAATGGAGATCCTGTCTCTTCTTATTCAATCTAAAATAAGAGATTTCAGGGTGTTCAAGTTTCACTGGAGGTGCAAGAAACTCCTGCTCTCGCAACTCTCCTTCGTTGATGATCTCTTGCTCTTCTGCTATGGTGACCTTAATTCTGTGAGCATTCTCAACTCAGCCCTTATTCAATTTCAGGATTTTTCTGGGCTGCAAGCTAATCATT